GCAGATTGTACCCAAATGATGTTAGGGATTTTGGAATGGTTCTTGAAAGACTTTTTCAAAGACTAAATTCGTTCTACTTTCAGGCTAAGTGGATGTTTTTTTTTATTTTCACTATTTTAGTGCCCATTTGTTATTGAAAGACTTTATACATTATAAAAAAGTAAGGATGAACCCCGCTTAGTGTATGAGACTGCAACAGATAAAATACAAGAAATACGGTAATAAACATCTCTTGAACGTTTTGGGGGAAATATTCTGCAAACCACAAAGGACTTCATAGTAAACGATGATGCAAACGTTCCTGCATAACTTCTAGATTTTACTAATCTATGCACATTTCACATCTGCAGATTAAGTACATTTTAAACCAGAGACTATGTATTTTCAATTTCCTTTTGCTGTAAGTTAGCAACCTTAATACTATATATGGAAAGTGTTTCTGGAATGCATTTTTTCCTCCATTATCACACATTATTACAATGTTTTGTAATACCTTTTCCCCAAAAAAATTATTGCTTGCTATCCTCTACAGAAGTTAAACCAAAGCCATGAGCAAGAAACCTCTCCCCTCCCCTCCCTGCTACTCCTGGATTCACTGGGAAACCTCAGAATCCTCCCAGGAATTTTGCCTTTCGAGTTGAAATCTCCTAACAACTCACACTGCCCCTAAATGACCCACCAGCAGAGAGAGGAGTGGCTGCAGTGGGCGTATTGTCACTGCAGTGACGTCACTGTGCTGATGTCACAAAAGCCATGTGACTTTAACAAGGTCTCGTTTAATGTCAAGCCATTCCCCTTTAACCCAACCCAATCCCTCCCACAGGCAGCAGGAAGGCTGAACTGGTTTCTTTTCTTCACAGAGGATAATTAACAGTGAACGCCACAGTCTTCTGGAAGATGTCACTCCTTGGCCAGTTTTACATGTATGCAAGGTAATTATGCAAGATGGCCTTGCCCATACCCATAATAAATTATCCGAAGAACATTTAACCTAATACAAACTGTTGGCAATAACAGCAAATCTTATTCAGCGATTTCGCCAGCACGCAAAAACTCAAATTTTCAATAATAAAAAGAAATTAAATTATTGTATCCTACAATATCCTTAAAGATTGTATCCTACCTGGATTTGCACATCTGCTCCAAGTATAATTATCAGGAAACTTTGGTCTCAAACACACAATATATTAAGGAGTCAGAAACTGCAACACTCCCTCCCCCAGAACTGCAGCTGAATCTGAAGTCAAGCCTTTCCTTTCGTTTCCTGGCACATTAATTACTATACGATTTGGTTTGTGCTTCTTAAAAAC